TTGCCTTCCCTCCAGGTCTATTCAATTTTAAATAAAAGTCTTTGTTCGGATCTACTCTTTGAGCTAGTAATATATGTGTTTCATTTTCTATTTCTGTGAATAATATCAGTTAAGTCATTTTTCATTCTGGTAAGTAAGATATTATTTCATTTTTATTGTAAGAGCTGTTTCAACATTGGAATAGATATTCGTTCCCAATATTGTTCATGGTATTTTTCAAGTTCTTCGTAGGTTTTTATTGTTGTATATTGATTCGCTATCCAAATTCCTACTTGTTTTTTGTATAGTTCTTCAAGGAATCTCCTGTAAGAATTTTGTAACCATTCTTGTTTTCCCTTTTCTATTTGTTCTGGATTTTGGTAATATCTGTCTTTATATTCTATTGTCAAGGTGATGTCCTTTATTGTTTTTATTATTTCCCAGTATTCTTCATTTTTATAGCAATTATATATATTGAGTGTTTCTTGATTCTTTGATTCGTGCCTTAGTGCCAATTCAAATAATTCCACTTTTAAGTCTGATTTAAGTTTTTTTAATTTCTGATATAAAGCTTCTATGGGTTCTTTTCTTTTGTTCTTTTTAATATATTTGGTTTCTCCTAGATCTTCTTGTTTTATTAAGAATAAATAGTATTGTTCAAATAAATATTCTGGTCTAATATATTTTAATTTTAATTTTATTTTTCTTGTTATTGTTAAATGGTTAAAATATTGTGGTCGGTGGCTATTAGTTGATTGGGAGTTAAAGCTCATTTGGGTCTAAATCTAATGGCTAGTGGTTGTATTAAAATATATCCTCTGAAGTATTTTCTATTTTCTGGTGGAAATGGTCTCTTTTAATATTTAAAATAATATTTTCTACTATATTTGCATATAAACTATTTGCTGTTGCTATTTCTATTTCGTGTTCTAAATAGGGTTGGTAGACTTGTTCTTGTAGCTTGTAAATACTCCTCGCTATATTTAATTTATTCTAACAGTGGTCGTCTGAATAACAGTTATATATATTTAATTCTCTTGGTGTTCTTTTTTTTTAATGAGGTATTGTTCTATATTATTGATTACTATAGAATGTAGGTAATCAAGTTTCTTATATAATAGGTTGTGTTCTAAATATTCTGGTTCTGTTTTTTTTATATCAGATGCAATTGTACAATATCAGTATTCTTTTATTTTTCTTCTGTTTCTTTTAAAATATTCTTCTTTTAACTCTTCTATTATGGTTTCTTCTTTAACATTCATTTAAAATGAATTGATCTTGTTCTTTTTGGTTTTTCAGTAGATTCTTTTGATAGGATTCTATTGATTATTTTATTTGTAGCTTCTTCAAGTTTTTCTTTTTCTTCTTTAAGTTTTCTAGTTTTCTTTATTTCATTTTCAAATTTTTAATTAAGTTTATTTATTTCTGATAGTGCTAATTCATAACTTTTTCTTCTTCAAAAAAGTATTTATTTCTTGCTCCTTTAGTGTATAATATGTTGTCAATAGCGTCTAAATGGTGTGGTATTAAATGATGGAAATTAAATGGTAGTATTGTAAATTGGTTATTGTAATTTCCATAATAGAATATTTCTTCTGTCTGTGGGTTTTCTTCAAATATTTTGTAAAATTCCGGTGATTCTGCTATTAGTCTTCTTTTTATTTCCTCAATTTGTACTTGTGTATTTTCTAAGAAGTTGTTGTAAATATCTCTTTGTTTCTCTTCTTCTTTTACAAGTGCTCTTCCTGTTACATCAGCAAAATAAATATACGAAATCTTTCGAAAGATATTGCATGCCGAAATCTTTCGAAAGAATTGCGATCAATGCGAAATTTTCGAAATATGCACAATCTTTCAAAAGATTTTGGCATGCATTTCTTTCAAAATATTTCAAAATAAATTTCGAAATATTTTGAAATATATTGTGGAATATTGTAAAATAGGCCAAATAAAAAAAATGCAAACCTCTACCTAATTATCATTTCAGGGGTCACAGAAGGTAATATTTCGTATATTATCGTTTAAATCTGCAAAATTTCAAATTTTTTTTAAAATTTTTGCAATTGAATATAAAATTATATATTTTTTTATTTATTATTATATATATTATATTTTTAAATTAAATATATATTTTTAATCAATATTATATATTTTATTATAATAAATGCATATATAATTTATTAATAACTTTATTTTTTAAAAAAATTTAAAAATTACAAATATAAAGCAAAATAATAATAGTATTTTTATTAAAAAATAAAAAAAAAAAAGACAAAAAAAAAGTAGCATTATTTGTATATAAAAAAAAACAAAACAAAAAGTTTTACGCGTCATAATCAAGTTCTTCTTGTTTTTCATCGGATATATAATCTATATTTTTTGTCAAAGTTGTAGATTCTTCATCTTTTTAAATATATTCAAAAATTTCTAAAATTTGAACACAATGCAAAAAATCACAAATTTTTAAGAAATTTTAAATATACTCACCTTTTTTTAGCCTTTTTCTTGTCTAAAAAATATTTTTTCAAATAAAAATTCAATTTAAAAATTTAAAAAAAATTTTGTATTTTAAAATATAAACTTACTTTTTTGGAGGATTGCGAAGGTCATTTGAGATAAAACGTATCCTATAAATTTTTTAAATGTTTAAAATAATTATAAAAAAAATATGATAATATTTCTATATAATCTATGTATAAATATACTCGTTCAAATTCTTCTAATTGTTCTCCAAATTCTTCTAATTCTTCTGGTTTATTTTTTTTTTCTAATTCTTCTGGTTTATTTCTTTCTTCTATATCCTCCGAAATTAATACTAAAAATGATTCACATCATTCTAACATTCACTTTATTTCGAAAAATTAAACAAATTTTTAGTAAATAATAATAATACTAATAATAATAATTATAATAATAATAACTTGATATCTTTCAAGATTTTCTTTAATAATATCTTCAGAAATCATTAAATTTTCATAGTTTGGGCTAAGAATAGATTGGCATACCGCCATTGCATCTGCAGTCTTGTAGTCAGTTGTTTTTCCAGAGAGCCAAATCCTATTTAAAATTCAAACAATGTAAGTATCATTTTTAT